TCCTTTTTATAACTTTAATTTAGGACCGGTGTTGCGTATTGACGCTAACATGCACGCATAAACACACACATACACTCGAGCAAAAGTAGCAGGACCAGTATGAAATATAATTAGCCAAACCACTCTATATCTTTCTAGGTTTCTTATTTTCTTTTGCATATGTAAGAGGTAAGATAGAGCCGCATAGTCATCTGGACCTATTGTCAAGATGAGACTTTTACAGGAATGAGACCCGGCTCTGATGATGTCAATCATATGAGGACGGAAGCTCAGCCCATTTTTACCCAAAACGAGGGAGGACGTCTCGTAGACTGCGTCAACCTGAACGTCGTATAAAAATTAAACGGCTGCAGTACAACGGGATTCATCCCTCCTCTTCTGGTGAGATAGACCTACGCATCTCTTGAATATATGAAGACCAAGATGATGTGGCCTCGGGTATGGTCGCAGTTTCCTTTCGATTTATAGAAGTGGGTTGACCTCGTTGTGTAACTTGGTCTTGTTGTCAGGGCAACTTAATAGAACGCACCTAGTGCGATCTATTAAGTTGCCCTGACAACAAGACCAATTTACACAACGAGGTCAACCCACTTCTATGAATCTCTTCTTCAGGCACTTTCATACGAAATGAAAGTCCCCCTAACATAGTTAATTCAACTTATACTCGATCCTCTTTCGCATCACCTATGATCCGCTTCTTATCTTCGCTAATTCACTGATAGCATCCGGTTTCATCCATTTTATACATTCCAAGACTTTATTTCTCATTAATAAGAACTTTGTTGACCCTATTTCGTGTGAGGTAATAATGACTCAAAGTTGAATTTTCCAACAATTACAGGAGTAGGCCTCGCGTTTCCATTGGATCTCGTATAGCTTTGCTTTCCAAAAGGTATTTCCATCCAGAATGATTGCAGCTTCTAACTCGCCTTAAACGAAATTGTGTGAATAAATCTCGTATTATTGACTTTGTGGTAGTGTCAAAACTCCACTTACATATGAAAAATACGTAACATAGTCGATTGTTACAGCAAAACTACGTTTGCTTTATCGATAACCAAATAATGTGAAATGGGAAAAGGCCTGGCCTTCCTCAAAATTCACTCCTGTCCTGTGACCCAAAGCCACTCGTGGCAAAGTGACCGAGTGTTTAACGTTTCAAACTTACATTCTGCACTGTCACGGTTCGGCTCCCTTTGAGGGTGTTGATAAGACCAATGCAAGGTCGTAACTGTATTCCACTCTGGATGAGAACAACTTTTGGGAAAGCAAGGCTATGTGAAATTCAATGGAAGCATCAGCTCTACTCATATCATTGTGGGGAAATTCTACTACTTGCCTTTCATCACCTTAAACGAAATAGAGTGAATACATATCATATGACTGATCTACTAGTAGTCTCGATACTCTGCTTTCATACCTTATATTTTGTCTAACTCGGATACAGATTAATATAAATGATAGATTTGGAGTGTATGAAAACCCCTCTGCATCATGAATACTCCGCATTTCATTTAAGAACTATTATTTTGTATCATTTTCCACAAAAGTCAAGCAACTTTAATCCAGGATTCTGGTTATGACGGTGTTTGTCAAGAATAGATCGGGTTCGAAGTACGATGAACCTAATAGGCTCAACTGCAGAGCAATCCCTCTTCTTCTGTTTCCAATAATTCCCACTTACGAAACTCGTTCCACCCTCTTTTTAAAGGCATATTAAGTCCTCTCTCCCGGTTTAATATTGGCTTGATCCTGGCACCTCAGGCATAGTGAAACCCTTTTCTGAGGACTCGGCTCGTTCTGACCCTCTCTGCATTAATCATAGAACGTCGGCTTAGAGTAGGAGTAGAGCAGCGTCGCGAAATGCAAGCCGTCTTCTGCAGTCGTCCCTGGATAGTTGGGAAACCTGAATCTTCGAGACGCTCAGACTGGATAACTGACACGGGCTTGGAATATGCCTAGAGGCTAGATATACTTCCAGAAGACTCCAGTGGAGAAGAAGGATAATTCTTGAACCTGATGTAGGCATGGGCATATTTGGATTCCGTTATGGCCTTTTGCATGCATCTCATTAAACGATGCTCGAATAAAATCTACGGACGTTAAACGAATCGA